CAGGATCACTTGCAGTGGCCCTAATCCACAGCTCAGCTCCACGGTTGTCTCCTGGGGCAACGCCAGCTCCCCTGCATGGGTGAGGAGGCATGGGTCACCGGGTTGTCCTCGCCACCCACCGCTTCGGGCTCCTGACTCACCCAGCCCCAGAGGGGCTGGGACAGCCAGCTCAGTGCCGCCGTCGAAAGAAGGCCAGTCTGCTACTGCCAGCCTTTCCAGGCCTAGAGAACCCCACTTGCAGCCAGGAGGGAAGGAGAGAGGGAGGGGCTGAGGGGCTGACTCAGCTGGAGAGGGGCGGGCGGGACTGCAGAGTGGCTGGGAAAGGCTTCGGGAGCCACATTCCCAGAAACACAAGAATCCATGGGGTGATGACCTTGTCATGAGACCATCTCAGAGACCACAAATGCGAGCGAGTCTTGTGGTGTTTCAGTCGCAGTGGATGCACATCTGGGCCCCAAAGTAGGGATCAGTCTGGGGTCTGGTTTCCGCATTTCTTCCACTCCAGAAACGCTTCCCTGGGGCAGTCCCACCTACGCATTGCCTTAGTGGGGAGAGAGGAGGAGGAGGCAGGCTGGAAGGACCTCCACACCCGCTTCTCCACCCCATGGCTGCACTCCACTGGAGGAACCAGAAGAGGAAGTGGGGGGTCCTGCATCCAGGTTGCACGTGCTCGTCATTAACTGCTGTCGAGACAGCCAGTCCCCACTCACAGCGAATGACACCTGCCCAGCCCGTCCCCCCCACCAATTGCAAACTGGACCTTTGTAAGCACAGGGTTGTCGCTGGCTGATTTTCAGAAATAGATCTCCAGGCCTTTCTTCCCTAGTGCAACTTAGTCTAGAAGCTCCACTGAAACGTGTCACCAACATAGCAACACACAGTCCCGGTTTCTAAGTTGTTGCTGACCTATAGGGTCTATAGGACAGAGGAGAACTGTCCCTGTGAGTTCCCAAGACTGTGACTCTTTACAGGAGTAGAAAGCCTCATCTTTCTGCTGCAAAGCAGCTGGTGGCTTAGAACCGGTGACCTTGTGATTAGCAGCCCAATGTGTAAATCCCTGCACCACCAGAACTCCGATAGCAATACCCAAGCCTCCATCCATTCACACCAGGGACTCTGCACAGGAAATGGGAATGCTACTGCTACCACTGCCCTCCCATTCCCTTCCCCTCCAAGACAACTTCGGAAGAACCTCGACACGAGAAAGCCTCCAGCAGCTCGGGGACCCTGAATCATGAAGGAACCCTGATGACGACTCATGACAGGCATGCCCATGGCTAAATCACCGCTTCTCTCCAGCCCCGTTCCGTCTCAATAAAGCACGTGACTACATTCAATAGCTCTGAAGAACGCCACATTCATCCCCGCCAAGTCCCTGCTACAGCCACCTTTTCCTCTTCAAGAGCAAAATCGTGTCCACCTTGTCTTTGGGGCCGGAATGAGCAGGAGTCAAACAGCAGTCAGCTGGTTTGGAACAGTGGTGTGCCCTGGACGACGAAGACCCGGTGCCTGAGCACATCCTGGAGCCCTCCCTGCTCTGCCCACGAGGACCCCAGCTCTCTCCCCCTCAGGGCACTCACCGAGGCTCCTCGGGTACTGTCACCTGGTTCTTCTCCCAAGTAATGGCTGGTGCTGGCAGTCCTTCAATGTGGCATTCAAAGCGAGCAGTCCCGTTCTCCTCTACCGTCTGAGACTCCGGGTGCAGGGAGAAGCCTGCGAGTGCTGGGGTGAGGACAGAGAGACAGAGGGAGGGCAGGAGAGGAGCAGAGCGAGTGAGAGCGAGACAGCGAGACACACACGGCAGAGAAGTAAGTGCCCAGAAGAGTAAATTCCCACCCATTGCACAGGCACAGTCGGAGAGAGGTGGCCAAGGAGTTAAGAAGTAGGGATTATTGGTCAGATGCTGCAAACAGAACAAACTCCCCAATACAACACCACCCCACTTCCACGCCACTCCCACCGGCTGCTCCACGGGAGAACGGTAAGGCTGCCTGTTCTCATAAAGATCACTGCCTTGAGAGGCCCCCGTAAGGTAGAGTCCACTCGGTGGCAGTGGTTTGTGGTTTCTGCTTCACATCATCATAAGGGGCTCTAGCAGGACTCCCGAGTAGATCTAGCCACAAAGATGGTAGCTCAATCCCATCAGCCACTCCAAGCGAAGATCAGGCCGTCTGCTCCCGCACGCTCCAGTCTCAGGCACTTACACTGGGCTGCTCTGACTTAGACTTGCCTAGAGGGCCCGGGCCTTGGTATGTTTGGCTAACGTGACTATGATGGTCAGACCACAGGAAGATGCACACGATCGCTGGCCCCAAAACGATTTCATGGGGACCGGTGCCTCCTGAGAGTCCCCCAAGGGAGGGGCTGAACTGTGGAGCTCCCCCCATCAGAACACCCTGGCAGAAGCATCTGACCTCCTGTAACTTCAGGAGGGGGACAGAGACTCTCCATCAGCATCAGCCCCGGCTGATCCTGACAGGATGGAGGTCACCACACCACACCCTCCAACCTGGGTCAGCATGGAGTCCCCAGGCTTCCTTTTGCCTCCCAGCATTCATAGCAGTCCCTCTGGTTGCTGCGTGGGGAAGCCCACTGCTCCAGACTCGAGCTCACAGGCAAAGCACAGGAGCGGAGAAATGGTTACCGCGAGGGGGCAGAGAACTGGAGGGGCATTCCCGAAGGAACCCACTGAGTAGGAGGGGAGGCAGGGAAAGGGGAGTGGGCACAAGAGACCACCATTTGTGAAAAATTACTAACTGCAGACCCCACCTCCCACATCCCAGCTCTCCTGGGACCCACTCCCAGACCCCAGATGCAGGCACTTACTGGCGAGCCTGACCACAGCAGCCTGGCTGGCTACCGCTCCCAGGGGGCCATGGGCCAGGCAGGAATAGCTGCCCTCGATGGTGCCTGAGGCCGCAGGGATGACCTCATCACTGTCATTGAGTGCTGGCCACTGGGGCAGCCACAGGGAGCCATTGGGCAGCAGGCGCAGAGGCTGGTGCTCGGGCAGGGCGGCTCCATCCTTGCTCCAGGTCACACTGCTGAGGGGCCCGGAGGCAGCAGCTCCCAGACTGCAGTCCAACACCACAGACTGGCCCGGGCCCAGGATCACTTGCAGTGGCCCTAATCCACAGCTCAGCTCCACGGTTGTCTCCTGGGGCAACGCCAGCTCCCCTGCATGGGTGAGGAGGCATGGGTCACCGGGTTGTCCTCGCCACCCACCGCTTCGGGCTCCTGACTCACCCAGCCCCCAAAGGGCTGGGAAGAAAGACTGATGGCTGAATCCGGCTCTGCCCCTTCCTAACTGTGGTCTGGACCATCCGCTGCACTTCTCTGCAGCTCCGTTTCCTCGTCTGTAAAAAGATACAGTTCATAGCAGCACTGTTCACAAGAGCCCCGAAGTGAAAACAACTCAAGTGTGATGGGTAACGTCACAGCTTGGCTAGGTTATGACTCGCCACGGTTTGGTATCTACTAGAAACGTGTCATTGTAGTCCACGACGCGATGACCCTATCCGTACAAAGGAGTGTGGCCTGCCTCCAGCCAGACGCACAGGTATGCTCTGGCACGGGTTGCTCATTCTCTCTTTTAGCCTAGTATTCTTCTTGTCATCTGACCTCCAGATCTGAACGTCAGCCTACAGAAGATTCTGGGCTGCTGCCTGATCTGCAGATTTTGAATTGCCAGCTCCTTACAGTCTTGAGAGCCAGCTCCAGTCTGCCATCTGACCTACAAAATTAGGACCTACCAGCTCCCACAATTGCATGAGCCATTCCTTGAAGTCAGTCAATCAATCAATCAATCCTATCTCCCTTCCTCCTTCTTTCCCACCCTCTCCCTGGTTTTGCTACTCCAGAGACCCCAAAGTAAGACAACAAATATCTCCCAGCTAATGACTGGGAGACAAACAAATGACAGACAAAGTGTGATAGAGCCCTACAAGGGAATATTATTCAGCCACGAAAAGGGATGAAGTTGTGATACATACTGCAACATGAATGAGCCTTAAAAACATGCCAAATGACAGAAGTCTGTTGCAAAAGACCATATACTGTAGGATTCCATGGATATTAAATGTCCAAAATAGGTAAAACCATAGAAACAGAAAGTAGATTGGTAGTTACCAAGGGTTAAGGGAACGTGATCATTGGGAGTGATTACTAAGTGATATAAAACTGGGGTGATGAAAAAGTTCTAGCATTAGAACGTGATAGCGCCCCTTTGTGAATAGGCAGAAATACACTCATGTATACTTTAACTGGCAAATTTCCGGGCATGTGAACTGTATCTCAGTGTTTCCAAAGACCCAGGGACTCTTTCCTGCCAGTGCTGTTGTGAGCATGACATGAGAGGGTGCGGGAAAGGAGAGTCCTACAGGACTTGGCACAGCATGGGGTCAGCAGTGGCACGTCCTCCCCTGGCACCTTACAGATGGTCTTGAGTGCTGCTACCCAGGGAGAAACGTACCATGCCCTAGAACATACTGTAGTGTTAAAAAAAAAAAAAGGAAACATCAAACATGTATTGTGAGTATAAGAAAGCACGTGTGTGTGAAACACATATATCCTGAATAAACAAAACAAAAATAATTGCAGGGTGGTTTGTAGAGTCACCTGGACGACGAGAAGTTAGGTCCAGACCCCACCTTGTCCCTGACTTTGGACAAAATGAACAGATCCTGATCAGAGTTAAGCGGTCTGTGCTGTCTGTCAGGCAGGGATAAGACGCAAGCTGGGTTCAAGGCCAGCCCAAGGAGAAGCTCCCATGGTTCATTCCAGGCCCCATGGAGACAGGAAACCCTGGTGGCTTGGTAACCAGCTGCCTCTTCTGCCTCAGAGATGGAAGAAGCTAAGTCAAGGACCCCTCCTTCCTGAAGGTGAATCTATCCGAAGCCATGCAGCTCGAAGAGAACCCAGATCCCTTGATGCCCAGGGCAGGGCTCTTTGCTCCCCCAGAGACCCTGTGGAGCTGGCAGATTCCCACAGAGAGAAGCGCACAGAACAATGGAGGAGAGGAACAATACTGTGCTAGGGTCAGGACCGATGTTTATTGCTTTAACTGACATTTTAGCCAGGCCTCGTACCCATTATCCAGAGAGAAATGGTTGGTCTTCCCGAGAGTGGATCTCTGTCCTTCTTATAAACATTCAATGGCCCAGGGTCCCGTCTCATCCTTTCTTCAAGGCAGAATGCCCTATCTGTAAGTGAGCCCAGGGCAGAGGTGAGAACAACGACCAATTCTCCCTGTGAGGCAGGTCTGGGCTGACGGAGCCACCCAGGGACACGTAGCAAGCACAGTGTCAAAGGAGTGAGGAGACTCTCAGATCTAGCCCCAGCTCTGTCACAGTCTAGCTGTGTGGTCTTGGGCCAGTGACCTCCTATTCTGAGCCTCTGTTTACTTGAAGGAAGTGAGTGATATTTGACCATTTCTGATTTCATGATTCAGTGGCCTGAACACCCTTCTTCTTGCCCAAGCGTTTAACACTTTCTAGACACGCACACCAAACTGCAGACATACCCTCGACTCCTGCGAGCACGCACGCCAGTCTCTGCGGTCGTCACCAAGCCCTGGACACGCACAGGCTGATGCCTAGAGCCCTTCAGCACAGTGTATCCCGAGGCTCCCTGCTCCACACCCCCAAGGAGGGATGAGGATGAGGATGAGGATGAGGATGAGGGAGAAGTCCTGACTGGCCAAGACAAGGAGACTAAGGCACACACACAGACCGGGGTCCTGACACTAGTGGGCCAACAGAGGGCTTAGCCGGTCCTCTCCTTTCTAACCCTCAGAAAGGACCCTCCGGGCGCCTCCCGCTGCAAAGCTGGGATCAGCATTCCTGGGAGGCAGCAGGGAGAAGGTAGTCACAGCGCCGCAGGCCCTGTGCTGTGGCGGAAGAGCCTGACCTCGGGGCAGAAGATCCATCCACTAGCTGGAGAGTAAGGCATCCCGCTTTGCTGGGCCTCAGTTTCCCCCTGTGTGAAATGGAGAGGCTCCCACTAGTTGAAGAGGATTAAACAAGATGATTGTCGAGGCTCCAGCCCAGAGCAGTGGCCGTCGCTCAGGACAGAGCTCGTTCCTTCCAGGCACTTTATCGACTGTCAAACCACACCCACTGCTGGTGCGGAGTCCGGTCTGATGCACGGCGACGGTGTAGCACAGAGCAGAACTGCCCCACGGGTTTCCAGAGCTGTGAATCTTTACGAAAGCATCTTCCTCCTATGGAGCGAGTGACCAGTGGGTTTGAACTGCTGACCCTGTGGGCAGCAGCTACCGTTTTTCACCCCTGAGCCGCCAGAGCTCCTATAAACCGTACAGGGCTGTACAGTGCTACTTGTGGACCATCACATCCCGTATCTTCTATCTCTAAGGCGCTAGGGTTCATGATTCAAACCTGAGGTGGGGGCACGGGGCGCAGGGCAAGGCTGGGCTCTCAGTCCGGTGGCTTCCAGCCTCCCAGCTCTAGCGGCTGAGCAGTGGGCTTGGGTTTCAGGGGAGAAAAGCCCCACACAACAGGTCTCCCCGCCCCCCAAAGCATGTCCCAGGCTTGGAAAATCCCCTGCCGCGCTGAACAAACAATGTGAACAGTTGGGGCCCCAGCAGCTGCTGGGCATGTCAGCAGCCAGGGCTCTGGCAGGCTGGACGTGGCCAGAGGCGCCAGTGCGGGCTGGGGAGCCCCTAGGCGCTTGGATTCCCATCCTGAATATTCATGGAGCAGCAGATGTCCAGCTTCCCCACCTCTGAGGAACCCCCCCCCCCCCCCCAAAGCCTAATGTTCCCCACAAAGGAAAATGGGGTAAAGACGGGTGGGAAGAACCAGGGTTCCCCGCAAAGAGCATCAGGAACAGGAAGGCCTATTTTAGTGACGATGCTTGCAAAGGCTGAGATAGCCCGTCTTACAGATGGGGAAACTGAGGCCCAGAGTGTGTGGGGGGAAGGTGGGGGTGGGTGGGTAAGGGGGCGGTCCGTGTGTTTCTCAGTTCTCTGGGAGACAATGTCTGGCAAAACGGTCTTTCTTTGACCTTACGGAGATAAGTCTACCCCGAACAGACAATCGCGCCCCAATTGCAGGGTCTCTGCTTTCATAGCCCAACTGCAGCCCCCCTATCAAACTGCTCCCTCCTCCCCAGGTGGAGCTGGTTCTGAGTCTCGCATTTCACAGCAACTCACAGGTCCCTCCCCCGCCTTCCTCTTGCCCAGCCACATGGTGTGAAGTGGCAAGCTTTGGCCTCTGCCAGTGGCGCAACTTGTCAGCGGGGGACTTGAGAGGCAAACCAGGGGGCACTGCCAGTGGGGTGACATCAAAATGAGTGGATGTGGCGTGCGACTCGGCAGCCGATAGGGGCAGTTCTAACCCATCCTGTGGGGTTGCTCTCCTATAGGGGCAGTTCTAAACCGTCCTGTGGGGTTGCTCTCCTATAGGGGCAGTTCTAACCTGTCCTGTAGGGTTGTTCTCCTATAGGGGCAGTTCTAACCCGTCCTGTGGGGTTGCTCTCCTATAGGGGCAGTTCTAACCC